TGATGAAGTCAATAAAATAATTTAATGTTGGATATTAAAAAACACGTTTTTTCATCCTTTATGATACTTTTACCCAACAGAATTATTCCTTTTCCCTCAAAAATTATTTCTTTTCCTGGCCTCCACTCAGAAATACTATAATTTCTGGGGGAAGGATGATTTATCAAAAAAAATATACATTCCTGCATTTTATCTAAATTGACACCTGTAATCATCACTAAATGGTAATCTGATTTGTATTAAGAAAATAAAAACTTTTAAATATTCTTTATTTTGCAGTAGAAAGTGATATTAAAACTGGATATGTTTTAACATAAAGCATGAGCTCAGCATAAATGTAATTTCAAGTCAACCACTATTGATGAGTGGCATGTACAATTTAAAGCTTAAAAGCGTAGTCTGATGAAGTGTAAATCTGATCTCCATATTTTTGTTTTTTAAGACTGATTATTTTCAATTTTAGTCTTTTTAGTCTCTCTACAAAGTGACTTTTTCTCACATTTTTGATTAGATGAAGGTTTAAAGCATTATTTCCTGACAGCATGATAAAATTAATATAGTAATGGTAATTGATTAACATGCAACCATTGGATAAAAATGGTTGATCCCTTAGCATACAAGAAAAATGTACATTATAAGTCAATATATTACACCTGCTCTGCAATATGTAAAGGGGGTTAAAAAAAATAAATACTTACCACTTTTTTCTCTCACAGGCTTAATTATTTTCCAATGATAATTAAATTGATATTACAATGTCTATAGGATGTTAGGAATACATGGTTAAAAAATTATCGGATTTGATCAACACTGCACTGAATAAATGCTCTTTATCTCTTGGGGATGAAACTGATCAGCCCACCTGCAGTAATAAACATTAACAAAGTTGAGGGAGGTCCAGAACTTGCTTAGTAATGACAAAAATATATTTAAAGGAGTTAAATATAACCCTTATCTCTTAAAAGCTTTGCTAGTTACAAGTTCAGGGTGGAGACAGTATTGTTGTCGCAAAGGAACAAGATTCTGACGATGAACAGATAGACAAGGTATAATCCACGAATCAAAATCGATAATGCAGAAAACTCTTTATTTCCTAAAAAAAATAACGAAATGAATAATGATGAATAATTATTACAGGGTTTACAAATTTATAATGAAAAGATTCTTACGATCTATTTTTCTATTCGGGGGGTTATCTGTCGAAAGTCCGAAGACGCTTTTTATACATTAAAACTTCTGAAAAGATTAACAATTAAATGTTGATGAAAGTCACTAATTCTTTAAATAGAAATGTTTTTTTTTTTTTAACTTTGAAATGGTTCACAATTGATGAACGTTTTTTACTCCGTTATTGGAGAACAAAGAAGAAAAGCGGGCTGAAATTGTTTGGTTTGGATTCTTGTCTCCGAGAGGAGCATTTAAGTTGAAGACGACATTACATAAACTGGGGAGGGGGGGGGGTCTTAATGTTAATGGTTGACAAGTATAATCAAACACCAATTTGGAGGACACTGTAACCCACCATTTCCAGGGAAATGCAGAACCAGTTCCTTCACTTCTCCTACGACAAGGAGAACAGCTGCGGGACCATTACGCTCTGATGGGACCATTTTTCTCACAAGAAGGAATATACCTTACTATTCTAAAGCTTTACCTTGTGTAAATCAATTCTAACATGGTCCAAAGGGCTGAGCCGCAGCCAGAGTTTTAATCAGTTTTGTTGACACCTGACAATGTCCATGAAGTATTCAATGTCCGGCCTATAATCAAGATTATTTGGGTCATGGCAAATGAAGGTTGCAAGGAAGAAATGTTAAAATATATCATCTAAAGCAATGTGGCGAGAATAATAAATCCCAGCTGATCATTTCCTTTCCCAAGAAATGAAAGCATTTATTTATGAAATATAACGAAGTACATAATAAAGTGTTAAGGAGTAACTATTTAAATACCTCCATTAAAAATAGGTTTTGGTAATATGTCCGTCCATCATTTCAAAAAAAAGTATCATGTTAGTTTTTTAACACTTAAAAATGATTGGTGGTGTATTGTTTTTATTATTTTAATTTTTTTCTTCAGAACTTGAGGGAAAAATTTTATACTTATCTGTATCAATTTTTAAAGTGAGAAAACAAAACAGATTTAACGCAAAAAAAAATTGCACATTTTGACATCCTAAATTTAAATTATTTTTTTTTACTCTTTTTTAAACCATATTTTTGAAAGGTTTTGAGGAGGGAGCAGTCTGATTTTTTAAACACATTATATATACATGAAAAAACAACATTAATTTAAACATAATTTAAAGAACATGGTGCGTTTCAACGTTTTGTATATTTTTATGTTTGGTTTTCGAAATTTTAAGGTTTTTTTTAGCTGTTTTTACTTAACTTTTTGGGTCTTTTTTTGGTGCCTTCTAAAGGCAGTTTTGATAGTTTTTGCAACTTTTTTTGGTGATTTTTTTATCCTTTTATCAGGCTCATTAATTTCGGAAAACAAAATTTCAACGAAAAAAAACCTGACCTGAAAGTTGGAACATTTTTATACAGTCATGAGCTAATTTTAACATGTTACAATACAGTACATTGACATTTTTATGAACAGATTATTTTTAGATAATTTTTAATCGAAGTTTAAAAATAAAATCAGTCAAGTTGGTCAAAACTAAGAAGTTCAATTCATCATAAAATTAAGTACATACCGACTAATGCAGAGCATTAAATTGTACAAGTGCACAAAGAACATGTACATTGTTGTACATGGCACACGTACATTCAGTTCGGAGAATAGTTAAAAAATGCGGGATTTCATCCTAATTTAAATTTAAAGGCATTTGAAGACAAGAAAATATCCATCAACCATGTTTTAACCATCTGAAATTTTTCAGAAAGTACTATAAAGTGCTTTTTTAATGAATGAGTGAAATAAAATGACACTGCCAATCCATAAAAATAATATCTTATGATTTTTTCTAGGAAACCTCATCTTTCGTAATTTTCATGAATTTTAATTTTAATGGTCGAAATAGTTCGATTCAAAAGATCCTAAATCAGAGAAGCGTTAATAGGCATTATGTATTAGGGATGTATGGGGGGGGGGGGAGAGGTTCCAGGTTTTTCACATAATCGTAATATTTAGAAAAATGTCCGAACTAATTAAATTTAAAGGAGAATAACTGTATCATAAGTTGATAACATTATTGTGATGTTCATCTACGAGAAACAATGAAGATTAAGAAAAGTAACAATTACGTTATATTCTTCCGCCTTCAAATGTATCATTGAACAAAAAGGGTTCAACTAATGCAAAAGCTGGTTCTTAAGTAAAATTAAATTTGCAGAACCGGAGAGTGAAACTATTATATCAACGGTTCAATATTTATTTATATATTTATTTATTATATCGCCGGAATTGAACTTCAATACAGGGTTACCACTAAGAATGAGACTTCAGAGATGGCTGTACACAAATTATATCGTCTGCTCCCTTAAACTCACAATCCCTGCAATTTGAATCGCACTGTGTAATAGTTTCAGGTCGTCTTTACAGTCTCAATCTTTATGGGTAAATTCTAATGAAGTGAGCGCTATCCACGATAAAAGTTTCACTCTCAGTTGTTCCCAAGAAGGATGATTAAGAGTTTTGGAAGCTTTTCAATGATTTTTAATCATCAAATGTGAGATTAAAGACCCACAACATTTATCACTCTTCTACTGAGACGTCCAGATATACGAATTTGTGTTTTTTAATGAGAGCTATCCATGATTTAAATGAATAAAACACAATTAACACAAAATAAAATAAAATAGTTATGGAACCACAGCGTTTGCATTAAATAAACCTCGACTAAAAACTAGACAGAGCAAAAATACAAATATTCAAAATTTGTATATTTAAATGTATAATAATGGTGATCTACAACTACTACAACTACTCCTACAACATACACAAATACTGAATATAAGAAACAATTATGCAAATAGGAGATTTCGATAATTTCAAAATGGTAGATATTAATCTAACTCAAAAAAGATAATTTCATACTTTACTCAATCTTTCATCAAATGTTATCAGATCTATTTTTAACAGGGCAGTATCTAGTTGCACTTGATAGTGAGCAGGGGGTGATACAGGATTTAAGTGAGGGTAGTGCTGGATTTATTTGGGAACAAAAAGACGTACCGCAGGTGAATTTTTTTTTTACTTGAGATATTTTTCCTGTTTGCACTCCCTTCAGTGCTACTAAGAAGCTATTTTGAAATCTCAGGGGCACTACGCCCCNCTGTATCTGCCCCTGACAGTAAGGCAACAAAGCTTTGAAAAAAAATAATTATACATATTTGAAGTTTCAGCTGATTTTATTTAGGCCCTTAAATTCATTAGAAAGAAAAGTGAACTTCTTCAAGATATTACAAATCAACAATTTTGAGCAATTATCAAAAAAAATATAACAACATTTAATACTTTATCTGCACTAAAAGCAGGATTAACTTTTAGTTATTATTGTCAAAAATAATGAAAAAAATACGATGGTAGAATTTTACAGAAAAATAAATGATTTCCGTTTAGGATTAATGAAATGGTCCCTTTCTGATAAGAACAACCAATTTGTGTGATGTTCAGCTCGGTGGGCGGGTTACTTATTTCAGTTAGTAAATAAGACAACAATCCAAGTTGTTTTATAATAATAATATTATGATGTTATTGCAATATTTACACAATTGAAATTTCAAGGGTTAGCGAAAATAAATAAATTTGTGCACTCATTGCGAAGTTTATAAAAAAATATTGCTCATTTTATGCTAATGAGCCAAAAAAATATTTATCGATTTAACGACGCCAATTCAAAATAAAAATTATAAATAAGCGTACAACACACAAAACAGTGCATTACACTGTTCATCTGACAGTTTCAAATTCTTAGGACGCAAAAATGTGTCTGCTCCCATCTGTCAGAAATGCATTTAACAGAATTACGCGCTTCGATTTCATCTTTGCCAGGGTTTAAATTTACAAAATTTATATTTTCAAGGCATAGTAGCTGAACCTTAATGAATCAAAACCAAGATGGTGGTCTAGGTTAATTAGGGTTCTATTTCCGATTAGCAAGGATAGAACACGTGGGGTTCTGTTTCCGGTTAGCAAGAATAGAACACGTGTGGTTCTATTTCCGATTAGCAAGGATAGAACACGTGGGGTTCAGTTTCCGGTTAGCAAGAAAATAATTTTGCTGAGACTAGCTAAATCCTATCCCCTAAACCCTTATTGAATTTTTTTTAAAGTTAAGAATATCTGTTGATCAGGGGTAGGCCTGAATCTTGTCGGTATAAAAGGTTTAAGGCTTTCTTAAACAAAGTTAACAGTCTCAGACTTTCCTGCTTGTAAAGAGCTTCCAAGAGCTCCTTAAAGCCAGCAAGCGGCCCTGATGATTTTACAACCCAATATTCTTGGGTTTGCTGGAAGCAGCTCCTACAAGCTCCGCAAAGCTCTGCTCCAAGCAGTTTTTGAGCTCGGAGTAAGTCACCACCAACACGTTCTGCTCATCTCGGGACATTAAACCAAGCTAGAAATAATATATATTATGAATTAAGGACATCAAAACTTAATCTACTTTTTCTTTTCATCATCAGAGTTGGCATAAAAAACCAGTCCCAAAAAAAACACACAAAAAATAAAACCCACTTTAAAAAAACCCCATCTGTAAGAGGGCTTTTTTGAGTCGTCTATCAACTGTATTGATTTTTAGGAGTTGTAAAGCACTAATACTGACGAGGGAGGGAATCCCCGGACGCCATGAGCCTCCGCTATGCAGACACGAGCCTCCCAGATTTGCTAGGCAGACCGAGCCTCCACTATGCAGACCAAGCCTCCGCTATGCAGTAAACGAGTCTCCACCATACAGCACAGCTTTTTTTAAATCTTGGGTTTTATGTGTAATGAACATTTTAACATTTTTTATGACGTAGTGGCATAAGAACTTTACTAAATATTGGAGCTGGTTATTGATTGTCATGATTAGAAACATATATGGACTAATACAGTGGTTTATAAGATTTGTACAAAAACTTTAAACATTTCTTACTCAAAAAGGAAGATATTTGGAGAAATATTTCTGGAGTAAACTTAGTTTGTTTTGTTGTAATCTTTGATTTAAACAATACCTTTTTTGAAAAATGTTAAGATTTCTAATCATTTTAATAAATGATACAAATTTTTTATATTTAATTTGTCCTACAAAAAAGGTATCGCTTAAATTAAAGATTATAAAAGATGAAATGAAATGAAATTCAATTTTTTTTCTCTAAATATTTTTCTTTTCGTTTAAAAAATGTTTTAAGTTTGATATACCACTTTATTAGTCATAATTAGGCAGTATTTATGATAATTGATAATTACGTCTCATCTTTGAGAAACCTCTCATACCACTTTGTCAAAAAATTTGTAAAATGGCTTTTATTTAAACTTAAAAACAAGTTTTAAAAAAACCTCATGGATTACACATTACACAGGCACATTTTAATGTATTGCGCAAGCTCATTACTGCATAGCCGAGGCTAGGTCTGCCTAGCAAATCTGGCAGGCTCGTGTCTGCATAGCGGAGGCTCATGGCGTCCAGGGGTTCCCTCCCTCAACTGACACATTTATATAATTTCCTAAGATTTATACCAATTAACTTAACAAATGAATATTGTTCGTATATTGAGTAATCAAAAAAAAATATTGAATGAATCAAAGAAGTCTACCTTGTCACTCTGGACTTCAAAGCGGTTTCTGGTTTCAGACCAGACAAATCCAATTGTAGCAAACTTTTGAAACACTCGACCATCTGCACTCTACAGTGCTTGTTTTTTATTTAATACAAGTATCAAAGATATTGAAAAAACCAAGGAGATACACAGAACTACGTCAGAGCTGAAGTTTTTCGGTATTTACTATTTAACAGTGGTCTTCCATATAAGAAAGTAGCCTCACTCCCAATAAGAAATATGTATTATGTATCCAAGTGAGAAAATAGAATTAGTCTGTTTATAGAACTCTAATATCAAATAATCTTGAGTAATTAAGAAGGGAGGTGATATTATTGTATTTGAAGAGTATTTATATTTGATTACAACCTATTATCAGAACAATATATTATTTTTCAGAACTATAAAGTTCACCTATTGCTTAAATAGTCTTAATATTATAAATAAATATGAATTTTAGTAGGTTTTAACTACTTTCAAATAGAGAAACCCAAAAAAGCTCAAAAAAGCCTAATAAAACCCAGTAAACCCCAATAAAACCCACTGAGCTGGTTTTTATTTTAAACCCGTTTTTTTCCAACCCTGTTCATCATAGATCATATCAACAGCGCTCATAAACATACTTTGATCGAGGCAATTAAAGTATGGCAAATACATAAGATTTTAATCTTTACTAAAAGGAAAATGAATGACGGACTAAATACCTGATCTGGGATACCAGCATCAAGACGATTCAGATTCGTGATCACGTGAGACATATCAAGAAAAGGTCTTCCATCCTCTGTGATCTAAACAAACGGACATTTTGATGAGAAAAGTTTGAAAAAATGTCAAATAGAGTTTCTCCAAAAGGTGAAGGAAATAACCTAATTCCATGGGATTAACGATCAAAACTTCCGACCTCAGATAATCTAGATGCATCAGCTGCATCAGCTGCATCAGCTGCATCAGGGGGGCTTTAAAGACGGGGCGTTAAGCCAATTCTAGAATTGTTAATGGGGTTGTTAAGCTATAAAAACAAAAGTCAAAGTGGTTAAATCTTGATTTTAAAAACCTCGTCTGTGTGACCGTATTCGTAACAATTAACGAAAATAAAATATGTGTACCGGATGACACCCGAAAAACGATGGAATAGGAAGACGACTGTTAGACTCAAATTATGATTTTGAGAAGTCCAATGATCATGAAACACAGCAATTGTCCACTGTGAACATGAACATATAACTGCAGATCCATTTCACTTAAATATTAATTCTTCAGTTACTGTTTAAAACTATAAGCTTTCTAACAACAAATAAAATTTCTTCCGAATCCGAAAAAGCCGTACGGAACCTTTGTTGATAGGTGAAGCTGTTAAGGATGATAAACCATTAATAACTATTGAAAATAAGGACGAAAGCTTTTCTCAACCTCTAGATGCTACACAGAGCTAGCTTTGACATGCTGTGATAAAGTTTACGCCACAGTTATTCCGGATCAATTCCATATGGAATAACCGTCCGTCAAAATGTTTTTAACAAGTCACTCACATTTCTGTGGGGGATCTAGGCAATCGATTTGATTTTAAAATCGGTTAAAAAAATCCGCCATTAATTTCCGAAAGTTTTTAATGTTTTTCATCATTTTTAACAAATTAAAGTAACTTGCTATAGATATGTCTAGAAAGTCTCTCCCCTTAAACCCTGAACGGAATCTTTATTTACAATTCTGAAATAACATGGACAAAACATGTAGCAATTACTATTCTACAAACTGGTTGTCGAGTTATTTTTATCTTAATTGCTAAAACGACATTTTCAAGAATTATTTACAAGTACAATTGTAGAAACAGCAAAGGTAATGATCATAAAAATATCGTACCTACTATTTACAACGGCTTTCATTGATAATTTCGTTTGAGAAATATGTTTCTTACAAGCAAATTAGTCAATACAATAATTTTTTTTACATGCTTTGTCTGGGTTATTTAATTATTGTGAAAAACGTTTCTTCTGCTGACTGAAACAACTTGTGAAATATTATAAACGGCTTTACGCTCTGATTTCAAAATTATACACCGTAAAAATGTCTCATTGGTATTAAATGAATTCTGTAATATTTCTCTACAATACTGCACTTTCAGCTCCACTACCATGTCTAGCATGTCACCCCCTTTAACCGATCCGCATTGATCCAAAAAAAATGGAAACCCCAGTCCAAATTTAAAATGTAACTAGCTTGGAAAATGTACTTTATCTAAAACATGAACCCACTCAACTTTGTTTTAAAAACCCAGCAAAGAACATTCCTATGGTTTTTCCGAGAAACAAACAAACAGCGATTTCTACTTTAAATATAGATTATAGATATATACCTGATGAAATAGATAATCCCTGAACAGCTTCAGCATATATCTATCCCCAGTCTCTGACCACGTGACATCCATATTGAACTCAGGCCGGTCAACTACCGTGGAGAGTTTGGTAAGCAGGCGTACTATTCTACTACTCTCTAGTTCTCTAAACATTTTCAAATTAACCTACAAATTAACCAACATAGAACAGCTCAGCTCAGCTCTTCTCAACTTCAAAAAAAATTAAATGAAATCATAATTATCTGGGATGTTAATTCAAAACTATCTTTTTTTGTCAGAGTACACATTTTGCATAATGACATAAGTAGTGCCTTAAGATCGAATTCTATTTAAGGCGAATACACTCTGTAAAAAAAAGGATCCTTATCCAGTCCAGTTCAAGAATATTTCTTTTTTCTAAATTCGAAGAGCAAAGACAAAGTTTTCGCTATTAATCATAATTATGTAGAACTTACCATTTAAAATATTAGCAAGCTGTGTATTAAGTCTTCTTAGTTGTATCGACTCTTCAAATGTGTGAGTATTAAGAGAAGGTTTTTATTCTATGATTTGGTTGATATTTATATTTTGGAAAATTTTTGCTGATCCGGATCATCGGGAGCTAAAATATTGCGGATTCATATGATCCGGCTCTTCTACAGAAATGTAGACTAACCTTTTATTTACAAAACAAACAGGGAAGAAAAATCAACTTCCTTTATACCAGTAAGCAATAGTATAAATTTTACACCGCTGTAGAAATGGGAAGATGACTAACCTTGCTAACTCCTGCTCAAGCATTTCTGATCTCTGCATAGCGCTGTCCAATGCCGTGTAGAACCGGGCACCTGAAAATACAAAATTCATAATATTTCTGAACTACCAGTGCTTATCCAAAGCTTCCAAAAATAGCCCACTAGAATAAAGTTGTTTGCAAAGTTGTCATTGTCAATATTCATTTTTTTCTTTTCTTAACAATTTGCAATTTACAGTTTGCAATTTACAATTGCTAGCCAGAACTGTTTTTGATCTGAAGCAGAGTATATACCATAAATATAACGAATTGCGAAAATCAACTAGTAACGGAAATTATCTGTTAATTGCACGTTTCTATTTTAATATTGAATTCTTTTTAAGTTTCATAAAAGTTTGAGGAATAAGAAAACTTTTCTCGCTTAGTAAGTTTTTTTTTCAACGAGGTTAATGTATATAGAGTGATGTTGTATGCTAATCCTTTACTAATTGTACAGGCCATGTACTTCACTTCCAAAGGTCAATCTGTATATTATAGCACTCTAGGGTGATTTCATGTGCTAGATTCCATTTTCACAGGAAGACGTACATTTACAGTCGTTTACAGAGCAATACTTCATCGTTTTTAAACTGTTCTGAGAATACTGAGTAAAATTCAAGATATAAAACCTCCCCGTACACGTGAACTCCGAAAGCGTACTGCATATTTGATGTTTGTACTGTATGAATAGGCCATAATCTCTTAATATCCTTTATCAGTTAACTATCCCAAGTGTACACTCAGGCTAATACACACAGAGAGGTAGCTAAAATCCATCCCTCCAGGTTTTTTTCATGTCCAACTTTTGTTCTATTTTTAGAATTTCCTAGAAAAAAGAAACGTTGCATCTCCCTCAAATTAATCAGCAGCATTCAACAATTTATTGATTTAAACGAAGGGCGCACTTTTTTGGACGCACTAATAAGATGACGCACAACAGATTTTATGTAAATAAATGTAAAAACATACAATATACGTAAAAGTTTTCATGATTTGTTCTTACCTATCATGGGCATGAGGTCATTGACCGACTTGACTCTCTGTGAATTGGTCAGTAGGTACATGATTAGGTTTCGTAAATCAGAGCTGAAAAAAATGCTACAACTACAAAAATCAGGGTTGTAATTATGTAGTTATTAACAGATATTGTAATTGTATAACCCCTGTAAACATGGGAACTGAGAGAATACTTTAAAATCGTCTTTGCTTGTTTGATCTAGCAATTAATCTTATGGTAAAATTGGAGGTTTGGACACAAATCTGTAAAAATAAATCATATCACGCATGTTATTCATAGGGATAAATAAAATTAACTACAGACTTTAAGTGTCTTCTTTCATTTCTGTTAATAAAAATATACAAGGGGGAATTAGAATCACCATGTGATGCTACAAAAAAGTACGATGTAAAATTCTGCTTTTTATACTACATACTGTGTACTGCAAGATTTTCCTGTTGATAAAAATCACTTTTACTACAACTGAACACCCGTTGTACACAAGTTCAAAATCATCTTCAACTTTATTATATTTATAAAACAGAAAAGCAACCATCCAAACATTTATTGATCCTGCAATATGATTTATGACTATTGCCGCGCAGAATAAAGACGACTGACCTGTAATTGCTGGTAACAAGCTCCATACTCTGCTGAACCTGCTCCCTCTGGATCGCGTGGAAGGAGTTGCAGGCCAGGGCCAGCACAATACGTCCAAGGGACACCAGGTCCTCCTAAACAGGGCAGTTACTTGGGGCGCCCAGTGACAATTTCAAAACACCCAGGCGTGAAATACTGCCCCGGGCTACTGCATTTAGGTCTGATTAGCATCAAAATACAAAAAAATATATTAATAGTCTTTTTTATTATGATATTATTATTAATACATAATGTTTACATGCATTGTGCAAGGGATTGGAAATTTCCTTAAATCAAGAGAAAATAGCGAGAAAAAAAAATTATCTAGACCTCAAACAGGTTTGGCACATTGCATAAGACATTTCATAGACATTTTCCAAAATTAAGATTTTTAAGAACAAGTTTCAGAAATTGTGAAAAATTCAAGATTTTAAAGACTACTATTTTTAAATCTCACAAAAAAGAAAAAAATTGAAAAATTGAAAACTAATATAATACTCTTTTTTGTCAAAAATATTTACTCCTTCATACATAAAAAATTTGAATATTTTCTTTCAAAGTTCAACATTTGTACTTTTGTAGAGAATATATGTTAAAAAAATATTAGAGTTGTTTAACATAATATTGTACAGCACTGCACAGATAAAACATAATTGATATTAAGTATAATAGGGTGTAAGGTTTAAAAAAGAAAAATGTAAAATCATCCGCACACACGTCCAAGTATGATTGTTTGATACAGATTCCTGTTAGTCAAATAGTTTGATGCAGAATTTCTGAGATTGCTGGATTTCTAGCTTCTCTGTTGTTTTAGCCGTTTGTTGTGAGAGCCTGGGGGGCAATTACTTATAAAACTCTTAATATGATTAATTTTTTCTTCATATCTTTGAAGGTTTTACAAGATTTTTGATGGAAATGTTCAACAAAAAATTGTAAATGAAACTAAATTTAAGAACATTTAAAAGGTTAAGAACTTTCCCTCTCCAGAAAATTAAAGAACGAAATCATAAATTTAAGAGCAGGGGCGGGGCAACTATCTATTTTCACTTAACCATAAAAACGAAACTCTGTACACTGGTGTCAGCTAATTGGTCGTGTACGGTACACGGTAGTTTACAGTTGTACACAAAGAAACTTGCTTTTTAGCTTTTACTAATTCTCTGTACTCTTTGGAAAATGTACCTGCTGATAAACAGACATGGCGGCCATAGGGTTGGCTGAGTTCGGATCGTAGGTGAGTACATCAAATATCCCGCTACAGTTAAGAAGAAGACGACATCGGCCCAAAACCAAGATTTTAGTCGGATCCAGGGTCCTACAGGCTAACCCTGGCAATGATAAGGTGTTCATTAATATTTAAAACTAAAGAGATTGTAAAAGTAAGTTAATTAAAGAGGGACATGCCCAATTCACAGCGGTACCCGAGGATAGCCGAGATATCATCATCTTCAGGACTAAAAATGAGGTGCATGGCTACAAATATTATTCACAGAAACGCTGTTAGTTCTTGATAACCCTGTATGCTAAACTGTTTTATGTATAAATATTATATTTTCCGGGACACAAGGAAAATAAGCATGGAATGATTTTTTGAAGATCTGAAGATAAAAATTAAAAAATGTACTTTAAAAGGCAAATTTGTTATTCTTTTTACCTAAAACTTGATTTATTTTCCCCTCAAAAGCCATTATTTTTACAATTCAGCGAAAAAAAATTGTAAAATAATTCGCTCCGCGCAGACATACCCAACTTCTGGCAAAAAAAATTTTTTTTTAAAAGAGAGGGGATGATTAAAAAAAATATACATCCATGAATTCAATAAAAATTTAATACAAAAAGTTCTAGGGAGCAGTTTTTTAGAACCATGCGACTTGTATTATTGAACAGTGTACATGTAACAATTACATGTACATCGTACACAGTACATTATCAACATGTTGCATGTATATTGTATACTTATTATTATGTACCTGCAGAGTGTATGTACCGTAGTGCCGATGTTAACTGTATTACATAATTCCAGATCAATGCCTCCGCAAGCAATCCTAAAATTGATAAAATGTTCATAAAAATTAAAAATTACAAAAAGTACAAAATTAAAATCATGACTTTTAAACAAATTGAAGAGTCATCGCTAAAACCTTGATTTTAAAGTCCGGCCGGACAAAATGAAAGTTCAGTCTTACGATGTAAATAAAATCTCGACAATAATAAACTTTGTAATAATAAAATATTATTGAATCCGCAAACTTTTTTGTTATCTATATTCATATATACTTTGCTTGTAATAATAAAATATTATTGAATCCGCAAACTTTTTTGTTATTTATATTCATATATACTTTGCTTGTCCGTCTGTCTGTTTGTTTGTTTGTATCCAATAAACGTAAAAACAGCTAACCGATCGGGCCCAAATTTTTTGTAGGACCTCACATGATCCCAGGGAAGGTTGATGGATGATTAAATTTCAAAGATTTGCCTCTAACAAAATTCGAATTTTTGAAAATTTTGAAAATCCAAGAAATTCTGCGATAAAATCCGAGAAATTTTTTTTTTTTACAATGTGTACAAAGAGAACATGTTCACAATTAAAATAGAAGATGCCTAGTTGGTTTATATTGTACAAAGAGAAGGTGCTCACAGATAGAGCCACAATTAAAAGTTGAAATATAGATGTATATAAATCACTTTCTAATTTTGGTTAAAGTCATTGTTAAGATAAAAAAAGTTGTAAGGTTCACCTGTATTATTGATTGCAGCTGGTTGATGTCTCATTAGATTCTTGTTTTGAGAATACGGTCTAAACTCAACTTACAATTTTAGAAAAGGGATTTGACACAAAAGGAAACATTATTTTGAATACAATAATAAATCTATGTAAAATGCAGGGAGAAAGGAATAGAAGGGAGATACAAATGACCTACCATATGATAATGCATGCTTTGAAGACGGGTACTCCATTTGTATAAGAAATATTTGTCTGATGTACAATTACCACGTATACAATAACCTATTCTGAATATTTCTTATACAAATGGAGTACCCGTCTGCAAAGCATATATAATCATATGGTAGGGCGAACTGCGTCTGTTGTATCTCCCTTTTATTACTTACTCCCTGGTAAAAAGTTAATAAAGCAGTAATCTCTGTTTGGATGTCATTGTCGGAACCCTTTGACCGATTTGCCTCATATTTTGATGGGGGAACTTGATATAAACACGAAAATGCTTTTAGCTTTGTTAAAAACTTAAAAGGTGAGGGGTTAACTTGTATCGGGAAAATTCCAGGCAAGATTCTTATGTACTGTATATACCTACAGTACACACCTTCAGTTCGGTATTACTTACACACACTCTTTTGGTACAGACACACATACATTCCGCCAAATGTGAATTTCTGAGATTTTTGGGATACAAGAAAACCAGAAATCCAAGCCACAAATGAAGATACATGAGGAGTGAGTACATATGACAAGAATTGAGAATCAAACAACAAATACTGTATTGTAATATTTCCTGCTCGTATCCCCGTTGTATGGATCAATTTGAGGATTCAGCTCACTGCTGAAATGTCTAAAAAAAAAGATTTATATTATTAGACAGACCCTGGAAGAAAATTGTCATTAATATCCGCCTTCCTTCAAAATCAAAACCCATGTTATCAATTTTTCTTACGAAAATGTTGTGCAATTTCAATATCGAGAACAGAGAAGGTGTTCGTCTTTTTAGGATATAATTTGGCCCGATAAAATTGTAATAAACTTTTTTGTTTATGCTTTGTCAAAATGCCTGTTAAATCTAGCTACAACCATTGTATCAATTCAAGACAAATGCACAGAAGGACCTACATCACTATTATTATGGCACGACGTGTTAGAATGTTTTTTGGACTTAAACTTTCTCTGTATCTCAAAGACATTTTAAGATTATATTTGTCCCTCGCTACAGATCTGGACAAAATTAAGAAATTGAAAAAATGTGAAATTATGAAACAAATTGTTCATCAAAGTCTATAATTTTACCTCGTCATTAGAGTTTCTGACCCGGGGTAATAATCATAAACAAATATCATTGAGTGGTCGTTGAAGGATTTACTTGTAAACACCTAGAAAATATACAACAATTACAATCAACTTGAAGGATTTACTTGTAAACACCTAGAAAATATACAACAATTACAATCAACTTGGAAGGATTTACTTGTAAACACTTAGAAAATATACAACAATTACAATCAACTAGGATTTACTTGTAAACAACTAAAAAATAAACAACAATTACAATCAACTTGGAGAATTCAAGCTTTCTTTTCTTTTAAGAAACTGTAGATACTTTCAAGTGGCACATCTGATTCACAATGGAACCCTTACAACCGTTGTTTGATAGATCATAGTAAATATTGTCACTCAAAAGAGTATTAAAGGGTACCGTTGGAAATCAGAAATGCAACTCTATAAATTGATAGTTAATTGAAACTACATCTCATAAACTTCAGTGAACAAATTCGTGGTTTTATTTTGAAAAAAGAAAGCCGATGAAAAAATTCCGAGCGAGAGTGAAACCGTGAAAGATTTGTTTGCTTTATTACAGGGGGGCCTTTATAAAAACAGCTCTAAGCTCTCATATTTACATACATTTGTGTATTTTGTTAATATCTGTTTTTATTATAACTGCAGAAAAATATATGATTTGAAATCAGACGTTTAGGGACCTACGTTAAAAAGTGAAATTACAAAATTACATAAATTACATAAAAAGATTCAAATGATTTTTAATATAAATTTTTAAACAAAAGCCAAAGCTTTTCATAAATGAAAAAGATAATGAGAAGAAAAAAATTTAATTTTTTTTTCTCTAAGTTTAAAATTTAAATTCCGAAATCTGCGGTACATCTCCAAATGATTTGTTCAAAGGAGTGGATGTTATATATTGAAAACAGGAAACGTATCAACATATTAAAAAAATATTTACAGAAATGGGTTTAAGTATTCACCTGTCTCAAGGTAACCAAGTTTGAGTGGGACATTTTCTTCCATTGCTCCACTAAACCCATACACTTAGTATTCACCAACCTAGATCATTCATCCAATCATTCATCCAATCAATCAATCAATCAATCACTTAATGTGAGAAAAGATTTTATTAACAATTAATAGATTAACGTCTAGAGCATGATTCAACAAATGAATTAATTAATAAATCCTTCTTAATAAATAAAATGTTTTTCATTAGTCAATTAAACTGTTAACTTAAAATCAATGAGAGGTTTAATAAAATAAACCAATCTTTCGTTGAACACATTTCTGTTGTTTTATAGCCCAATGATAAATCAGTAAGTCTCTCGGCGTAATGAATGAATGAATGAATGAATCCATCAATCCATCAATCCATCAAAAGAATAATCAATGAGACAAGGAATCAATGAGGCAATGAGCCAATGAGCCAATGAGCCAACAAGCCAATGAATGAATGAATCAACGAATCAATCACAAATCACCACTTAATCAAACATTTCATTAATTAATCAATATATCAATTAATCTGACCTGTATCCGTGTATTCTTCTTAGACACATATGCTGCCCAGTCTTAATATTTACAGATTTATAAACTGTTGTCACGTAACTACAATACAACAAACATCTAATATAACATTATTAAAGGGACTGTTGGCGAAAATGGTTTATTCCATGGTTCCTTCTGATTTCTAATAAGATTATTTCATCAAAAAAAGTATAAATCCTTCTGACTTCTAATAAGATTATTTCATCAAAAAAGTATAAATCCTTCTGATCTCTAATAAGATTATTTCATCAAAAAAGAATAAATCCTTCTGATTTCTAATAAGATTATTTCATCAAAAAAGAATAAATCCTTCTGATTTCTAATAAGATTATTTCATCAAAAAAGTATAAATCCTTCTGATTTCTATTAAGATTATTTCATCAAAAAAGTAAAAATCCGTCTGATTTCTATTAAGATTATTTCATCAAAAAAGTAAAAATCCGTCTGATTTCTAATAAGATTATTTCATCAAAAAAGTATAAATCTTTCTGATTTCTAATAAGATTATTTCATCAAAAAAGTATAAATCCTCCTGATTTCTAATATGATTATTTCATCAAAAAAGTATATTTTAGAGTGGTTTTGTTCCTGAAAGTCGAGGATTTGTGTAGAGGAGAGGAGGCCGGAGGTTCAAGAGGACACAGGGAGGTGAAGTTATCAACCTGAACATTTTTGTTATTATTATCATGAAAGACAACCCATGGTTCAGTGAATTTGTCGCCGGTGTTGTACCGGCCCGGATCGTGCTACTTTTAAACTGGGGTGGGGCTGCTGCTTTTTTGATCATACTTAGGACATCTTAAATTTGTACGATCATTAAATTGATATTTTTTCAGGAAACATGTTTCCCTTACTACGTTGGAAGAGATTCTTAGAGATTTATTAAGGAAATGGAGAATTTAATGATTTTAAAGGAAAAATTGAAAAAATGGTCGGATTATATAAAAATAGGAATAACCTTAATAAGTCCTTTAAACATAACTTAAATACCCCCCTCCCCCCCCAAAAAAAAAAATCAACAAAAATTTCCCCATTTAAAAGAAGTGTGCCCATAATATACTTGGCTCAATCTCTTAAAACAAAATTTAGGGTAAAATAAAAAAAGAATAATTTATAAAAATACGTGTCTGACCTCTGAAGGAATATCCTGGTTTTCTTGTGGATCTGGTATAGTGTGACAGATCATTTGCCGAGTTATTAATTCCATCTTTGTCTCACTAAATATTGTTATTTTATAATAATCTCCAACTTTAAACTAATTTGGAAGAAAACCTAGCTTGCAAAATACAAATAGATCAATGACCAAAAAGCAAAGTTCAAAGTTAAAATCGCTAAAGGAGAAATTTCGTTGGCTTTCTTAAATTAACAATGTTAAAAGATTTGTTTTAGGTCTATTCAAAACACAAAACAAAAAGAAATATTGAGAGAAGAGAAAAAATTATAAAGAATAGTAAAAAAATGTGGATGCCATAAAATAATCAGAAACCCCATTTTCGCTTTTTGAAAAAAATGAATATGCATTATCTGCCAATTTTTTATCAAAAGAAAAAACAAGAAGCAGTGTTTCGGATCCGGATCCGGATCCGGTCGGATCCGTATCATTTGGTCGGATCCGGATCCGTATCAGGAAACGTTGATATGGATCCAGGTAGCGCCAAAAATTAACCAAAACCATGGAATAAATAAATCAAAATGGTTCGTAAATGTATTATTTACATGACGAAAATTTTTCAAAATTATCTTTAATAATTTAATGTTTACATTTATATAATAGTAATGACGACATTTTTAACTTTAGGATTACTCAGCGGAATATATAATAAATATAGTTTATAAATTATAACCTTGCATAACATTTAATAGGGAAAATCCGATTCACAGAATCAAAAGTTACCTCGGATCCGGATCCGTATCAGAGTCAGGATCCGGATCCATCATCACGGATGCGGATCCGCGGATCCGGATCCGCATCAAAATGATACGGATCCGAAACACTGACAAGAAGATAAAGATATACAATGTTAATCCTAGTCCTTGAATTGATTCAACAAGTAAACTAACCTTTCTTGAAGCGAAGTGGGCGCAGCGTTCCTGACCTTCATGGCTACAACCTGGCTCGGCGTACCAGAATAAGCAGACCAATTTGGAACTAGCAAACTGTTCCCTACAACCTAAACACCATGAAACATTAGTTTAATATGTTCTAGAATAAGCAGACCAATTTGGAACTAGTAAACTGTTCCCTACAACCGAAACACCATGGAACATTAGTTTAATATGTTCTAGAATAAACAGACCAATTTGGAACTAGTAAACTGTTCCCTACAACATAAACACCATGGAACATTAGTTTAATATGTTCTAGAATAAGCAGACCAATTTGGAACTAGCAAACTGTTCCCTACAACCGAAACACCATGAAACATTAGTTTAATATGTTCCAGAATAAGCAGACGAATTTGAAACCAGCAAACTGATCCCTATAACCTGAACACCATAGAACATTACAGGGGAAATTAGTTCCAAAACAAACACTCGGCCTATTTCTAACACTAGGGATATCCTTGATGACCCCCCCCCCCCTATATCTGTATTCTGTATACCTGTCCTGTAGAAAGTTGGCTGGGTAGAGTTTCATCAGGATTATAGAAATAGGTTGTTCCATTCTCAGAAAATACAGTAACCTACGACATATTGGAAATTTAGAAATAAAATTCATATTTAAAAAACTTACGAAAATTAATTTAAAGATAATATAGACTGGCAATAAAAGTTGAAAAAAAACATTAACCTTAATTTACCAGAATAAACATATGCATTATTCTTTTAAATTAAAAGTCCCAGGGATATTTATTTACTTTAAAAATCCCCCCCCTCTTCTGAAGTAGTTTTCATTCTGTGATAGGCATGTTTGCGCAAAAGCCAAACAACTTTTATGAAATTTTAACGAAATATTTAGAAAATGAAAGAGAATGAAATTTCGAATTATTTATAAGCATCGCAAGACGGAGGAAAAATCTTGCCAGTCGAGTACCAAGGATTCGAAATTTCTTTTCAAACGAAATTCTAAAAGTTATGTGCAAAGACCCCCCTATAAATTAACAATTGTGAATAAATCAAACAAGTAACCGTAGGATTATATTTTAGAAAAGATTATTTTATTTCAAAATAAAATTTCGATGTAATACCTTCGCAGCTGATGCCGCCGCCTGAGCCTCTTGTTCCGGACTCGGCTGTGGCGTAACATTACCCGTAGGACGCATCGGCGGAGGGTTTTGTAGCTGAGCCGCAGGATTCAGGCGCATAGTCGGTGATAGACGACTTGCAGCTCCACCCGTCTAGAATGCGTAATCATGATCAGTGAACAGATATATTGATTTAAAGGGATTGACTACGTAATCTAATGTGACCTTTCATTTCTGGAGTTCAATGCCATATTCCCAAGATTCCCAGAGCAAAATATAAACAGACTCATTCAACGATATATTCTGAATGTTTTTTCTTAAAGGGTAACGATGTGAATCTGACGTTTAACTTCTTAAATGGGGACTCACTAAAAATTAGTAGACAGTCCCTTATACACAAGTTACCAGGGGTATCTTTTTCAACCAAAAATAATCCCACCGTTCCAAAAATAAACATAGGGGGGGGGGGAAATTATGAAAAATTATCTTAAAATATCATAAGTAATAAATATTTAATCTACTTATGTAATGTAATCAATCTACCAAAAAATATTAACAATTTTTTTTATTAATACCCCTGGTGATACAGAAAACAAAAATTGGGTGCCATTTTCTAAACAACTGTATAAAAAAAGAGAGAATAGAATAAGAGTGTTAGCGTGATTATTCAACTAAAACGAACGCACTTGTTCCTGCGTTTTTAATATTCAGCGTTCTATTCCTATAAGAGTGCAGTCTGTGCACTGTATAGTTCATACAAGGAAATAATTATGTATGAATAGATTCACCGTCATAAGGTCAAACGACAAAAGGTCAAAACGCGACGAAAAAGGGTGAAATGGCATATGGTCAAAAAGCGCGACAAACGGGCAAAATTTCATTTTGAAAATTTTTGGTTAATTTGAACTATTTTTATGTTCATTAGAAATAGTCTTAATCTAACTTTTACCCTTTGTCGTGTTTTTGACCGTTCGTCTTTTGACCCTATGTCTTTTTACCCTAACTGTGCCAAATTTTTACCCTTAGAGAAAATGCATGGCAAAAACGAATGAAAACCTATCGTTTTTGTTTCGTATTTTGCAATATGCACTCCTATAAGGGTTAAAATTTGGCAAATTGTTAAATAACGCAAATGTTCAGAATAATCAATTCAAGTTTTTAAAACCTCTCAGACACTTGTGTATTTTGGAACGTTTTAAAAGTCCTGAATCTTTTTATTAAAAAAATCTTGTTTTTGCTAACAATGTAAGTCTAAATCAACGTTATCGTTTAATTCTATTCAGAATTACTTGCGATTTTTTAATAGAGGTTTTATTGATATTTTTGGATTATCTTATCCATTCTTTTTCCACATCTTTCATTTTTAGAAAGAACAGTTAGTAAAATTAAAGCGCTTACAATCCTTGTGGCGTTAAAAGACGTTTTTTTAGCTAAGCAGTTTTTCAACAAATAATTATCAATTAATCACGTCTTATTTGACATTTCACATAGTCTTATTTACAGTAAACAGTAAAAACAAGTAAACACAAGTATCGTAAAAACATTGAACTTACAAACCATGTGAAGAAGGAGATGAAAAATGGAAAATAGAACATTACATTTAGCGATGAAAACCTTTAGCTGAAATGATTTGAGAAGAAGAAAATGTATGGTTTACAGTCTAGTATATACCCTTGAAATGAAAAGCATGGAGCAATGGGTTGTGCATAGAATTTCCAGTAAAAAGTGTAAATCCTGTTGCGAAAATTTCGATTTTTTAACGAAAAAAAAATTTCGCAGAAAATTGGGAATTTTTCGCATGTTGTTCGCTTGCGAAAAATGCACGTTTTTTCGCTTTTTCGCGAAATTTCGCTTTTACTTGCTTCGCGAAAGAATGCGAAAATTTCGTGAAAAAACAAATGCGAATGTTTCGGGGGGAAAATGCAAAAATTTTGTTAAAAAACTAAATAAGAGAAATTATTAATTATGATAAAATAAAACTTAAAATGCTGGACACTCAAGTTTTTTTTCCGCAACTAAATGTTGCAGCTATGGTTTTCGCGGAATTTTTTTTTCGCTGGAAACCCTAGTTGTGCAATGTGGGGAAATTAAATATGGATTTTCAAAATCAATAAAGCATAAATAAAATTAACTTTAAGGTAAACAATAATTTCTAAACCAGTCGTAGAATAATTATAAAAAGAGTAGGTTGTAAAAAAACTTTTTATCGCGCTATCTCAATTTTTTTTGCGATATTTGAAATTTGAAACTTCAATAACTATTGAAGCCAGAACAAAATGTTCAATGTTGAAATATGCAGACTACATTTTGGAAATTCAATGCGGTGCTGTTTTATTTTCAGTGCTTTTATGGCAAAAAAAGTATTCGAAAGAATACAACGTAGATAAACGCGGATATTTAAGTTGCAGCTCAACTACTATGTGTATTGGGACTCACATTGCCTAGAGTGCAAATAGTGACAATTCATGAAATTATCAAATTATTTTCCCAACTTCGAATGTGAAAAAGTCTATGAGATGAAAATGAAATTTATGTTGTCACGTTAAAAAATTCCATGTGTCAACAATGTTAGTGCTTGTGTTAGAAAAGACGACATAAAAAATATTCAGTGTGGTAAACAAGTGAAGAGTGGGGAGGGCACTACCCATCAATCAAACAGAAGTGTATATTCTTACTTTATTTAAAAAATTGCAGCTCTCGCCCCTTATGTCATTTTTATTTCGGGGAAAAATTCTTTCTTAATTTAAAACTTCAATTTTGATGCTGGTAAAACCTTAACAGAGAATTGCTGAACCATTTTTTATTTATTTAGACTTTAATTTTACTTTTTAACTCTTTTTGTCTGTTGAGAGAATATACACCCCTGAAATTAAGTAAAAAGAATATGTTATTCTAATTACGTAATTAATTGAGAATTGTAAATCTAAAAAACATAAAAATTTTTCTTTTTTATTTAAAATCGAATTATTTTGCTTTAAAAAAATAAAAATAAACATTTGATAAGGGCCCCTATTACAGTAGCAGAGTAGCACACACAACACAGAAAGCTCTGCAGGCCCTGAACCCTGCAGGGCCCCTAACACGACAATAAATACCCTTTTCTCCATGTCTCGCAATATGGCGTCTTTATCCAAATTAAGGCGTGGTGGGCCAAGGGGCGGAGGGCGGCCGTACACTACCTGTTTAGACTAAAATACATAATATCCAAATAATCGGTCCATCCACAATCATTGAGTTCGCCATCTTTTCAAAACCAATCATACAAAACCGGTTTTCTGTTTTGCAGATTTGCTCAAAATAACTGCACGGATTTATTTAAGGCTATTTGGTCTTATCGTCTTTTTTAGAGTTGAAAAAGCTTGCTGGGTAAGCCAGTTATTACGTACTTCTTAATTTTTGTCCTGTATCTTGCAAGAAAAGCGGGAAAAAAATAACTGCACATGGACCTGAGACTAGGGAGCATTTAAAAAAATTTTATTTCCGAATAATGAAGAGAAGAAGGATCTTACAGGATATGATTGAATGGGTGCTGGTAGTTTAAAGCTTGGTCCTCCTCCCCCATACATGCTGCCTCCTAAATATTACAAATATTAGGATAAAGGGAGTGTTCCCTTATTTAGAAAAGGGGTAAAAAAGTTTGGGTTTGAATATTTAGAAAGTGCTCTTCTTATTTCGAACCAATAAAAGGAACTGTGAACTAATGACGTAATTTCAATTTAAGAAACTGGAAGCATAAGTGACCCAACAGGAAAATATATCTTTACCCGCTTTACAACGAGGCACCCTTAGAACCTTAATCTGATCAAAAATGTTTATGATAAAGTCTGTTTTCCGACTCGAAAAGTGTTTTAATGCTGTAAATTTCTCCAATGTTTCTTTTAAGCAAGAAATGTGCAAGCCACTTTTGCAGAGAAACCAATAATGATAATGAAAATATCTTACATACAATTTATCAAAAAAAGATGTCTAAAATGTGAACCCTGCAGTAGTATAAACCAACCTGGACCTTGCATCCCTGAGTTTAGAGAAGGAAACCGTGGGTTTACAAACCCTGGAGAAGACGGAGACAAACCTAAACCAGAAATATCAATTCAAACCTCAATTTTCATAAATCTCAAGTTCTCAACTTCTTTGAAAAATGATATTGAAAAGTTAAGAAAATGGAAAATATGAAGTAGATTTTTATCCTTTAAAATTCTTCCAATCGTTAACGAAATAATCGGTTCGTTTTACGAGAAAAGTGAAAACGATCCAGCCCTATCTCTACCTGGAGCCGAGGACTGTCTGTTCATAATTTTCATCCCGGGATCAAGACTCAGACTGTTTATTTTACTGCTCATATCCTGATAAATAAGTTATTTGAAATATAAATAAATGATTAAATAAATATGATTTATATTTTAAAAATTATAAATATGTATGAGGAGCAGTGCTTAGGATAAATTTTATGTTTTAATGCGGATCCTGGATCCGCACTGGAAAAAATGGGTTCGAATCCAGGTCATATTTTTTTACAGCAGAAGAATTTTCAAATTATTCTTCCTTTTTTTCGTTATATTGATGCCTAAAGATTTTGGTTTGCATTTTTTTTTGTTTATATCTAGCCCTATATTTGGATCCGAATTTTTTTTGCGGATCGATCAGGATTCGGATCCAGACACGAAAATGTTGTGGATCCAACGGATCCGGATTCCGAATCCTAAGCACTAATGAGAAGAAACGATGTAACATAATATTTGTTGGTTGATTTGCATGTTACTTTGAGCTTTCATTACACAATATCAGGGGAACTAAAAACTGGATTTCTAACATCTTCAATACATGTGGATTTGATATAAAATCACAGAAATGCAAGGAAATATACTCGTTATATCTTCAATTTCCAAAGATATATGATTTATAAATAAATTGTATACAAGCTTAAGAACCCAGCTTTGCCTGGACAATAAACCTTATAACAGTCAAGGAAAGAACAATCCCGTGATCATACTGACGAGATCAAAATTACGAGGCAAATCGGTCACTGAGTTATGGTCGGATACAAACAAACAAACAACAAAAATTGCTGCTTTATACAAATTTAGTCTATAGTCTAATAAATAATTAAATAATATGTATTTAGTATAAAAATCACCATCTGTTACAGTAAAGTCCGCTAAAGTATCCTAAAGATTGCGTAAGCAATGCATGCAACAATTTTAAAGACACGAGAGGGACTGAAAGCAAATTTCAAGTGACCCTTAAAGCTTAATCATTAATGCACATCTGATAAATAAGGTGAATGATATTGTCGTTTTTCTAAGTCTAAAAGAGATTAGTTGTAATAATTTCTATGTGCTGTCCTGCAATACAGAGATGTTCTCGTCACTTATGTAGAGAACCCACACTTGAAATCAATCAGTTTTTGATATGATTTAATTCATAATTGACCATTAGAACTATTAGAAAAGGAATCTGAAAAAGAGGTCCCGTTATGAACCCCCCAGACCGCCGGCAGGCATGGGAAGCATACAAAGCCTTTAAGGGAACTTTTGTGAATTGGGCATTGCCATTTTTGCATGAAGGGTGACGTGAAATTACGCTTACAGTCCCTTTAAGGTCAGAGTATATATTATGTATCTATCTATTTACCTGATATTGGCCTGTGTTTGGATTAGGGCCCCCGACTCCTCTATTCATATATGTTCCCAGCTTACTTCCCTATATATATATATATATATATATATATATATATATAATATATAATTTGACAGTGTCCAGCAATAACCAATCTTAAAGAAGATAATGAAATAATATATACATTTACTATAATATGTTTAGAAATAGAGCTGAATATCTCGTTAATCTCTATTATATTGCACGCAAAATTAAAATCTTGTATGATGTTAACAATAACTCCTCTTGATGAAGTGCTATTGAGAAAAAAAAAACCAGTAAAGTTTTGAATTTCCCATGTGTAACTGGTTAAATTTTTGAATTTAATTTTTGAATTTGGGTAAAATAAAAACAAGAGGAGATGCAAGGTCGGAAAGTCGAACCGGTGATGTTACATAAATTTGACCTTCTCATTTTGTCTAGTTAGTAGTGTGGGGGTCGATAAAACTATATTCTAGGGATACTAAAAATCTATAAAAAGTTAAGCGTTTAACAAATTTAAAGGACTAGTGTCCTTAAATCCATAAAATTGTCTGATCCCGTGTGTCTGTAAGGACCAATATATATACCTGGGGTGGTCCTCCTGGTCCCATGTGTCTGTATGGACCAATATATATACCTGGGGTCGTCCTCCTGGTCCCATGTGTCTGTATGGACCAATATATATACCTGGGGTGGTCCTCCTGGTCCCATGTGTCTGTATGGACCAATATATATACCTGGGGTGGTCCTCCTGGTCACATGTGTCTGTATGGACCAATGTATATACCTGGGGTGGTCCTCCTGGTCCCATGTGTCTGTATGGACCAATATATATACCTGGGGTGGTCCTCCTAGTCCCATATGTCTGCATGGACCAATATATATACCTGGGGTGGTCCTCCTAGTCCCATATGTCTGTGTGGACCAATATATATACCTGGGGTGGTCCTCCCGGTCCCATATGTCTGTATGGACCAATATATACCTGGGGTGGTCCTCCTGGTCACATGTGTCAGTATGGACCAATATATATACCTGGGGTGGTTCTCCTGGTCCCATGTGTCTCTATGGACCAATATATATACCTGGGGTGGTCCTCCTGGTCCCATGTGTCTGTATGGACCGGGGGAAGAACTAGTGTAGGGAAGATACATCTGTTCCATCATGTCTCAGGTCATCTTTCTCTCATATTGAATCTAAAAATACAAATATTCACATTTATCTGACACGATCCAGTTCATTCAGATAAAATTTATAACACTGAGAATACATGTTTCCTTTAAAAGAACTTTAAAAGGACTTACAGCGTATTTTCAAGTGACAGAACTTAACACTTTTGGACCTAGAAAAACGAAAAAATTTCATGGGAACCGTTCTGCATCAGGCATTGTAATCTTTGTATGGAGGGTTACTCATAATTACGCTTACAGTCCCTTTAAATTCTGACAAAATCATTTTGATGATTTTTTTAATAACTGGGAAATTTGGGCCGTCTGTCCTAGAGAGATTTTTGGACCCCCGTATGAGGAGCAGTGCTTAGGATAA